TAAGAAGCTCATGATCTTCAGTATCAGTTCTCTGTAGAGATTCAGATTTTCTTTCATCTTCTATTCTGAGTTATGTAACTATCTTATCAGTGCTGTTTCTGAGATTCAGAGAATCTTAACTTTCTGCAGTCAGCTTCTTCTGCAGTGATAACAGAGATTCTTTTATAGAATTCTTCTTCATATTAATAATATTATAATCAGACTGTCTAGACAGTGTGTCAGTGAGATTAAGTCAATCTGAATAGTATTGAATATAGAAATTATACTCTGAAAGCAGCTTCACTCATCTGACTTGATGTTCTGTCAAGCTCTTTGTTGTCAAGAAGTAATACAGATTTGTATAATCAGTGAGAACTTACACTGAATACTTACTACTCTGAAGATAATATCATCAGATCTTAAAGAATTTGATAATTACTAATATCTCTTAATCATGAATATCATATCTTCTCTGTATAAGTGATAACTTCTTAAAGAAGAAGATTACTGATCTTTATTCATAATATTATATAGACTTTATAAAAAAGTCTTCTCTCACAGACATTTCATTGTCTGTATTCTCAGAGATGATTATTCTCTGATTCTTTCAGCATTAAAAGATCTTCAGTGTCAACTGTGAAAAGATTTCATAGATCTCATTTCTGAATATATCAGTCTTACACTAACTGAGTAAGTCAGAGTTAAAGTGATTCAGTATTATAATATCTGTAAAAGCTTGTTTCAATTCTGTAAATATCTGTATAATGTCTTGAATGAGAATAAACAGTTCTGTTTTTCTATCTTTCACACTTCTCTTTAACAGATCTGTAAGAGAACCACTAATTCATGAATATATATAGATGAATTATCTGTAGAAATTCATAAATCCTAGAAATATCTACATCTTATGATATATCTGCAGCACTGATCAGTTCTTAATGATGAAGACTCAGCTTCTATTCATTGAAATGTCATTTACTCTAATAATATAATCTAAGAAATCAATCTCCTGCATGTAGAATGAGCATTTTTCAGTGTTTATATAGAGTTAATACTGTCTTAAGTAACTTAACACTTCTTAAATATGAGTATCATGTTCTTTCTCTGTTTTTGAGAAGATTAGAATATCATCTAAGTATACTATGTAGAAGATATTAACAAGGCCTCACAGTATCTCATTTATATAGATCTGAAAGATGACTGAAGTATTATAAAGATTAAAAGATAAAACAAGATATTTAAAATTACTATACTTGATATAAAAAGCTGTTTTTCAAATATCATCTTTGTTAACTCTGATTCTATGATAGATATTCTGTATATCAATCTTTGAGAACATCTTTACTTCAGATAATTAATCAATCATCTCATTAATTAATAATAATAAATAGTAATTCTTAACTGTCATCTTATTAAGGTCTCTGTAGTCTATACATAGACATAGTCTATTATTCTTCTTGAGTATAAAGAGTATAGACATCTCTGTCAGACTTTTTAATAAGTATATTCAGTTCTTTAATTGCACTTTCTCAAGATATTTACACAGAACATTTAATTTCTTTACAGATAAGTTATAAAGAGACTTATACAGTACTGCTACACTGTCTTCAAGATAAATCTTATATTATATCTTAATATTAGAAAACTTCACTACTTTTCTTTCTGAAAAGACATTCTTATAATCTGTAAAGAGATATCATGTATATCTGGCTTTAATAATAGATACTGCTGATAATCTTGCAGTGAGAGTGATAGCTTCTTTATCTATTCTCAAGTCTCAATCATCTGCTGTACAGTATATTAACTCTATCTTTTTCTCAAGATTCTTCTGATGAAACTCTTCAGATTTCTCTATCACTGTCTCTTTATCAGTGAGATAGTATTATCATATCTAAGTGACTCAGTTAATGAGAGAATTGTTTTCTCTTAATTATGAAACATCTAGAATAATATTCTTATCTATAATATTAACAGTGTGAAGAAGTAAACTGCTCTTCTTAAAGATTTCTTCTAAATCTGTGATTATATACTTCACTTGAATTATATTAAAATAGTGATACTTCATTTCATCAGTAAATTTCATATAATCTGACAGATCTATCTTCTTTCAACTCTTTATCAAAGAAAAGAAACAGAATATGAAGTTAACATTTACTCTGAAGTCAAATAGATATTTTATTAATATCTTCTCATTCAGAGTATTTATTGTGATTGTAATATAAACTCAGAGATATAAGAATTATCAATTCTTTATTTTCTTCACTTCTTTATCTTTCATGAATACATTTATCAGAAGAGAAGTTAACTTTGAGAAGATATCTTCTCAGTTTCTTCTCTTCTTCAGCTTCTTATAATTACTAGTATAGTATTATCAGCTCTGCAGTTAAAATAGAGATCTTTATTAAATCTTTTTTAATATTTCTTCACAGTGAGTGAAGAATCAGAATACTTGAAATTCTTCTTTACATTCTTTATACTGAAGTTATCACAGTATTATTTAGATTCTATTATTAATTACTTAGAAGAGATCTTATTAATCTTTTTCTCAGAGAATTAATTATTTAAATAGATCTGAGAAATCAGATTGATAAGCTTAGTATAATTAATTAATAAACTCTGATACTGTAATATTATTATCTGTATCTTATAAGTCAGCTTCATGAGATAAAGCTGTGTTTTTAATTGATTTAAATTATCAGTTAATTTCTCTCAATATTCTTTAAATCTTATATTGAAATCAGAAGAATTCTCATTATTTTATTAATATAATAAGTTGAATTACTGCACTGCTGTAAAGCTGTAATTACAGTAATCTTTAATTTAATTCAGTAAAAAGTTCTTGAATTCTTCTTAAATTATTACAGTATCAGTATACTCAAGCTCTCTCTTCTTAATAATCTAAGTAGTTACAGAGATGTCTTCAAGAAGATTGACAGTGTATATTACTTATATCTCATAAGTATTATACTGATGCAAATTAAGACAGAATTTTTATTTAAGAGTATAGATAAAGCTGTGAAATAAAGATAATATATTTCTCTTATATCTCGGAGAATCTCTGATCTTAATCTCTCTATCTTTATAATAGGTATAGATGTATAGAGACTGCAGCAGTGATAGAGCAGTTGAAAAACTTATATTAAAGTATACAGTAGATTCAGAAATCTCAGATTTCTACTAAGATAGAGATGTACACACTCTAGAGAATGATATAGAGTTTATCTCAGAGAATGAGATTAGATCAGTTCTAGTATAAGTGTATAAGCTTATATCAATCTGTTAAAGCTTGACTGATTCAAACTTATAATCAGATTAAGTAATTTAAATTATAATATAATAGAAATGAAGCAGTGACTAGTCAGTAGTCTTATATAGAAGTAGTTATTTAAAAAGCTGTATAAGTAAGCTCAGCTATCTTACTTAAATAGTGAGCTTATAGACTACAGAGTTATTATAAGAATATCACAGCTATAGTACTTAGTATACTAAGAAGATTGTA